CGAGAGCCGTCTCGTAGATGAACGCTTAGGTTACCAGACTGATTGGTGACCTCCAGCAAGCGCGATGGCATCCAGGCTGTTTCGGGCCTTGGATTGCAAAGAACGTGATGTTTCGTACACCGTTCAAGCCAATCAATGATTTGCGATATGGTCTCAGCTGAATCCGTACTGTCCCAGAAGGCTGTTGGTCTAGACATTGCTTCCTTTCCGTTCAACGGGTCGTGAGACAACACAGGTCTGAAACAAAAGCCCTTTGCGTACATCGTTTGCTCTGGCCGATACTGCAAGCCGTTTGGAATTTCGCAGTTTTTGAGGAACACATTGATATTTACTGGCCATGAGTTCTTGTCGCTACGATTAACGTCCCAGAAGGTAAGTGGACTGAGAGAATGTAGATCGGTTCGGCAACCTTTTGCGGCGACACTTTCGACAATGTTAGAACAGATGTAACAACCGTTGGCCGCAGAAGAAATAAGGCTTGCATGCGAAGAGTGATGATCGAATTTGAGTTCGAGGGAATCTAGCACTTCGCCAAAGATGGCCTCGCAAACGTGACACAGCATGGTGTACTCAAAGGCGACGGACCTGTTCTCTGGAGAATCTTAGATGCCGTAGCTCAAAGGTTGACTTGGTTGGGCCGAGAGAGATGAGTTGGATAGAGAATTGCGCAACAGTCGTGACCGGTGAACAGTGCGGGGAAAGAAGTGAGACTAACCCGATTGCGGACGCGACGGCAGTCACGACTGGATGAACGTTATTCTTGACCTGCCACACCATGCACAGTAATCTTGTGTATCCCGAGACATCTATCGTATTCGCCCGTGAAACTTATGCTGCCTGGTGGCTTTCTCAACATGCAGCTGCCTACGTGGTTGCGCTGGATTCGGTTGTGCAGAAGGGGAAGGCTGATGGCACAGCCTGGCCTCCATATCTAGCTTTGATTCTCAGCAATTTGCTCGAAACTGAACATCTCCAGAGCACACAATGTCGTCCTTCACCCTGACGCCGATCGTCCAACAGGCGGTCGAGCATCGTCTCGAAGAGCTCGAACGCACCAAGAAGTCTTTCGAGCGACGATACCTCTCTGAAACGGCGGAGTCTGACCAGCCAAGTGTCATCGTACGTCTCGAAAGGCTGCTGGATGAAGTGAAGAATCTGGACCCAAAGCTCGACGAAGAGGACGACGAATGGTTGACAGAGACTATCCAGCGATGCATCGAACAAGCCCGAGATGACGGTGCGATCTCCGAAAAGAAGTTGTTGAGGCTGGAGAAGAGCTTGCGCGACAAACTCAGCAGGTTTCGCAACCGCATGGAGGTGTCCTGTCTACACGCACAGCTTATCAAGGAAGCTACAAACGCGGCTAAGATCGAAACGGTGGCTCCTAAGCTTGACGCTGTAGCACTGGACGACGACGACTTCGAAGTAGTCGACAACGAAAGCGAAGAAGTTCTCGAAAAGTTCTCGAAAGCCTGTTCCCAGCCTACCAACGTGAACAGCCAGTTGATCGAGACCTATCTTTCGAGCTTGTTCACGTCCGAAGACGAACACCTACAATCTATCCGGGACGGGATGAAAGCATACGGAGATGATCTGAGTAGCGGAGAAATCGAGGTAGACGAGGAGTGCTTGACGTGGATAATGACGGACTTGATGAAGTCGGATCGGATCAGCCCGGAGCGGAAGACTACCCTCGCAGGGTATCTGCAGTCACCCGATGCATTACGAGAGCTTGTTGCGACCTTGAACATGATGAGCTATCGCGACTGGAATTACAGAAACGCGGAGGCGGGCTTGCCAGTCGAAGTGCGCAAAACGAAGAGCGGCCAGCATTACGTTCACGTCGAGGTAGACATTATCGACATGTTGTTCCTGCATTGCTGTGCGATTGGTTGGGCCGTGAAGTTGAACGAGTGCCTGAAAGACTTCGTTCACGAGTCGGGTCTGTTTCGCTGTGCTCCGTTGGCAGAAGCGGAGCTCGACAAACGTGCTTTCTTCTTCGACACACCTCGTCTTGCATGTGGGGGTTATCTGTCGCCACCACCGCCACCCTTACCTTACGTGTTCCAATCAATACCTCCTCCTCCCCCTGGTCTACCTCTGTACAACAGCAGAAAGGGTAGTCGAAAGAAGAAGAGGAGTGATGAGAAGATGTATCCCATAATGCACCCGGCACCTCCACAGCCACCGCCAGCTGCGCCTATGGATGTAGAAAGTCTTCGAAGGGACAACTACAACCAGCATTTCTTCATGTCGCGTCTCCCTCACAAAGACGGCGAAGTACCCAAGATTGTTTCGTCCGAAGACGTCCAAGCAAGATTGATCAAGACCCTCGCTGTGGAATGCAAACTTCGAAAGGCGTTTGATGGCAAGGTGTGCGCTACAACTTTAGAGTTCGACTCAATTGCCTCCACAGTTCCCCATCAAAGCATCATCACCGCATTGAGGTTTCTTGGTGTCCCGGAAGTCTTCCTTGGGTTCTTTACTCGTGCTCTGCAGCCCAAGCTGGGCATCCGAGGTTCAGCCAGTGAGTTAAATAAACACCTAACGCCTGCTAGTGGAGTAGCGGTTGCTCATGGCCTGGAGATGTTGTTCAGCGAAGCTGTGCTGTTGTTCCTCGATCTTGCCACGCACAAAGCGACGAAGTCGTACAAGTACCGTCTGTATGACCGCTGCTACTTTGTAGGTACTGCGGTCCAGGTCAAGGGTGCCGAGCAAGAAGCTGCCCGTTTCTCTGATATCATGGGGCTGAAGTTGCGCGATACTTCGTCTATTGGCGGGCTCTCCATCGGACTTTTAACCATGGACTCGCAGGAATCCTTGTCTTTCGATAAGAGCAAGGAATTAAGCGTGGATGAGATCAAAGTCGCCCTATACGCAACCCACGTAAAAGCGAGGCTCAAGGCATGCTCAACCGTACTGGAGTGGATTCACGAATGGAATGACACTGTCGGTACCTACGCAGCACAGCTCTTCGGGCCTCTTGCCAATGTGTTTGACGCAGCACATCACGATGCCGTCAAGTCCGCTTACAGACGTATCCACTCTATCGTACTTGGTGGTAGTGACCTGACCACATACGTTGCGAAGATGCTCAACCCCCATCTGGAATATGGTCTGGAGCGTATGTCTCTTGATCTTGAGCCCATCATCTACCTCCCGCAAGCTTATGGTGGCCTCGGTGTAAAGACTCCGTTTGTCGCTTTAGCATCCGCCGCCAAGATTAGTGAATCTGGTTCCGGAAGGATCGAAGGATATCTCAGCGAAGAGGCTGCCTACTACAAACAAGCCGCAGACCGATACACTCGGGCATCAGACTGCCAACGTCAGCAAAGGCTCGAAACAATCTTCAACAATGATCTATCAAGGATGATCTCAGCGCTTGGTTCTGAAACCACATCCAGCGTATGTCTCGCAGCCCTTCCGTTCATGACGGAAGCTGAGATGACGGAACATCGCGAACGTACTTCGTACCCGCTGCTCACCAGTTACTTCTGGGACCTCGGTCCAGTGACAGTGCCTGATCTTTGCAGCCTCTATCGTGATCTACTTCGCGAGGACACTGATCGCATTGGAGAAAGCCAAAGGACCAAGCGAGAGGTACAACGTCTTTCCCGAATGAGGGATCTGAAAGACTGGTACAGGGTGAGCCAGCTGGAGAAATGGACGTTGCAGCTCTATAGCGAAGAGTGTTTTGAAAGGTACGGCGGCCTTGAAATCTGGTGGGTTGAGGGCATGCCCGTGGAAGTCTACAACAGCCTCAGAGGTCACATGTCGGATGACGACGACGACGACGACGACGACGACGATTGTAGTTCAATTGTCTCAATAGTTTAGCCCAGACGCCCAGGCGAGAGGGAATCAGGTGGAGTGATGCCTAGTTCAGTTGCCCGGATGCGACGCGCGCTTCTCTTCTGTCGATACCGTCTACTTACAACCGTCGCTTCCGAAGGTATGTCATGAGTCTGTCGCGTTTCTTTCGGGTCTCCTAAAATGCTCACGGTAGCTACGAATCAATGAATCATTCACGACGCGTCTCCATTAGTGCAGCGCGAAGATCGCGACCCCAGGCGTCGTGACCTTGCAGGAGCGGCAATGCCACCCCACAAATGACAAGAGGTGATGTTCTGTGACGGGCAAAGGATGCGCGCGACTTTGAATAGAGGGTCCAGTAGCGATGGTGAGGGCGGGAGCGATAGCGTTGTTGCTGTCAGAAGTGTGGATGATGGCGATGCTGTGCGCAAGATCGTGCAGCCTTCGGGATCTCGGAAGCAGTCGTTTCCGATTGGACCACGTGACACACGGCCAAATTCTACCTAGGTACTCAAGGCTCTTCGTCCATGCCAGACCTATGAAACGAAACACATTTTCCGAAAAAGTAATAATGAGCGGGATAACTCATATAGAACGCCGCCTCATATTGGTGGATTCATGCGGTGCTCGCGCTTGGGACACGTAGTTCTCCCCGCACGTTCCGTGCATTCACTTTGCACCACCGGTTAAGAAGGCCAAGCCTTGCTAAGCTTCGTAAAGGATCATCAAGCCTTGTCTATCTACAACACAAGCGCTACGCCACCATGCCCTAGAACGTCTAGACAGCGCGACTAGCAACACCTGTCATTTCTTCACATCTACCTAGGCGTCTTCCATCCATGCGCCCTGAGTACCTGCAACCGCGACGTCTCGACGGGAAAACCTCGTGTCGCAATGGAGGCCGAATATAAGACATCATTTGGCAGACCGTGCCATCTCGGGCCTACTCTAGATTGTTCTCTTGCGATGCATGATACGAATGCGAGCAAGTTGCGAATGCGAGGTTCATGGAAGACCGCAAGAGGTAGTATATACATCTCCCACCCGTCGCTTGTAAGGCGTCACTATCAATCCTTGGCTTCCATTCTTTAAGCACTGGTCTGTTCGTCTAGTTTTCTTGATTGACTTCATTTCACATCCCAGGCTTTACCCGTCGTATCCATTCTCGCCAAGACGAGTCCGACAAGATGCTGTCCAAGCTGGCCTTTTTCCTCGCTTCTTCCAATGTTGCTCTCGCTGCACCAAGTCTCGACCCCCGTCAGGCAGTAACCATTGCCGTGGACTCCAGTAAGACATTCCAAACGATTGACGGTTTCGGTATCTCCGAGTTCTACGGTCGCGCTGGAAACATCAAGTCTCTGGCAGCTTCTGCCCAGAAGCAGACCCTTGACCTGCTCTTCGATCCTACTACCGGCGCTGGCTTCAACATCCTGCGCAACGGCATCGGCTCTGGCCCATCTAGCGGCTTCTCTATTGAGCCCAACAGCCCCGGATCGCCCACTGGGACACCAAAGTACCAGTGGGATGGCTCCGACAACAACCAGGTTTGGTTGACGAAGCAAGCGCAAGCCCGTGGCCTCAAGACCATTTATGCCGATGCTTGGTCTGCTCCTGGGTTCATGAAGACGAACGGTAAAGACTCAAACGTAAGTACAACCACCCAAACGGGGACTGGAAGCGATAGCTAACTTGGTCCAGGGAGGAAGCCTTTGCGGTGTCGATGGCACGTCCTGCGGCAACTGGACCCAAGCTTACGCTAACTACCTCACACAATACGTCAAATACTACAAGCAAGAGGGTATTGACGTGACCCATCTCGGCTTCTTGAATGAGCCCGACTACACGTAAGTCTCTCACATGTCTCTGTGCAGTCGATCTGTTACTGACGGATAATAGCACCGCCTACTCCTCCATGCGATCGACTGGTCAACAGGCCGCCGACTTCATCAAAGTTCTCGCCCCAACCGTCAAGGCCTCTGGTCTGAAGGTGAAGCTCACCTGCTGCGACGCCACCGGGTACAACGCTCAGAAGGCCATGCTTCCAGGACTCGCTGCAGTCGATTCCCTATACGACGTCGTCACCACCCACGGTTACAGTTCCGACCCCACAGCCCCCTTCGCTACTTCCAAGCACATGTGGATGACTGAGACTGCGGATCTCAGTGGCAAGTGGACAGCCAGCTACTACACCAACGGCGGTGCCGGCGAAGGTCAGACCTGGGCCAGCAAGATCTACACTGCTCTCGTCGACGCGAACTTCTCGGCATACCTTTACTGGGAAGGAGCTGAGGACGCCGGCACCAACCCGACCAACTCCGTTCTCATCGACATTCACGGTGGAGTTGTTGCGCCTTCCAAGCGCTTCTGGGCTATGGCACAGTGGAGCCGCTTTGTCAAGCCTGGTGCCGTTCGCGTCAGCGCTGGTGGCAGGACTAGCACGCTCAAGACATCCGCTTTCAAGAACACTGATGGCTCAGTCGCTGTGCAGGTCTTGAACACTGGCGCGTCCGCAGCGACCGTCAGCATCACTGGTGTCTCGGGCAAAGCGTCTGCATTCATTACCAACGAGAGCCACGGGCTTGATGCGATGACTGGAACCAGCGTGCCGGCACATTCCATGGTCACTTTCCTTTACAAGTAGATGATCTCTCCGCGAGAGCGCATATTTCTCCAGCTTCGCAAGTATAGTTATGCTTTTACAAAGCCGTACCCTTTTTTTCTCCTAGTGTTGACACACCCTATTTCCTTGTGTATAACCATCATAAACTGTTCAATCACTGCCGTCTTCATTACCTAGGTGGTGCGCCATCGCACATGAGCTTGTATCTAAACGAGAGTTTTTCCGTGGCGCTTTTGACTGATCCTTGACTGCAGCGAAGACATCGCCACCTAGTTGGCTTGTGCAGTACCTGAGTAGCAGTACATCGAAATGTGAAATAAGTTGGCCGGTAGAAAGAAGCCCTGGAGGGTGGGCGCGAACTTTGCGGCTCGATGTACGGAACGAGCTTAGTGGCGGGGAAGCCGTTGATGCCGCCAGTGGCTACCTACCGCCCTGCACCTAACCCCGCTGAAGGATCGATATAATCTCAATCAACTGCAGTGTTGCGGCGTAGCTGTAGCTACGTAAGGTACACCCATACGAAATATTCCTCGACAAACGACGGAAGAGCTTTTGCCCGACATGCTCGTCGCTGGTCATACGCGTCCGATACCGAGGGGCCACATACCTTCCACCTACCTAGGTATCATCTCGCAATTTCATGGCAAACAACTAGACCAAATATCTTCTCCGCGGCCTGACGGCAAGAATCTCACCACTAGGCATGCGGTACGGCACGCGTGCAGAGGGCTAGGCTACAACCGACCCGACCCCTGCGCTGGCTTTTGGGCATGCAGCAGCTCAGGTTCGTTTGCGCGGTCCGACACTCTTCATGTGGGCCTTTGCAATTGAGAAAGATAATCCAAAGCCGCTGTGCATCTATAAAGACGGTCTTCGCGCTTCCTTCCTTGAGAATCCTGTAGTCTCCTCTGATCCCCAAACCGGTCACCATGCGGCTGTTGTTCCCCTTTGCGACATTGCTCTCGTCCGTGGTATCTCAGGTTTTCGAGCCTGCCGACTTCAGCGTCACCGAGGCTCTTCTTGATCAAGGTGTCAATGTCTCTGCACTCCCAGAGTTAGCCGGCCTTGTAGGTCGGTCATCCAACTTGGCCTGCGACATCGCCGTGAGTATCTTCAAGCAGTAGCTAGGTAGCTCAAAGCTAAAGCTAAACCACAAACAGTGTTCTTCGCTGGAGGTCGTCTACGGAAACAAATCTGTCGAATTCCAGGATGAGGCCGGGTACTCCGCGTTCACATCCAGCTTCTGGTCTGGAATCTCGGCTGAGGTCAGGCCATATTGTATCTTCAAGCCCTCGAGCTCTGCCGCTGTTTCGGTAGTGGTACTTCTGTCTCGGTTATCGAAATGTCCGTTTGCCGTCAAGTCAGGTGGTCACAGTGCGTTCGCCGGCGCAGCTACTATCGAGGGAGGCATCACTGTATCTTTCGAGAACATGAAGGGCATCGAGCTTTCAGACGACAAGAAGACCGTCGCAGTTCAACCAGGGAATGTATGGGGTAATGTGCTTACCGCTTTGTCGACCACTGGCGTCACAGTCGTATCTGGAAGGATTGGTGATATCGGTGTCGGCGGACTCACCCTCGGCGGCGGCATATCGTTCCTCACGAATGAGTACGGTCTAGCTTGCGACAACGTCGCTAGCTTCGATGTGAGTTCGCTGCGCAATCCCACGACATCGCGCTCTTCTAACATTAATCAGGTTGTCACAGCAAGCGGCATCATGGTAACGGCAAGCCCAACGACCTTCCCAGACCTCTACTGGGCTCTTCGCGGTGGCGGCAACAACTTCGGCATCGTAACCAGCTTCAACCTGACAACGAAACCCCTCGACAACGACCAGATTTGGGGAGGGACTCGCACATTCCCGGAGAGTGCATTCCCGGATGTAATCAAGGCGTGGATGGACCTCACGCTCAACTCAGCCCAAGACCCCAAGGCCGGTAGCTGGGTTGCCTGGTTGGACAAAGGCGCAAAGCTTGCTTCAACTGAACTTTGGTACGGCGCACCAGCTGGTAACGAGTCGGCGATCCTCGCACCTTTCTACAACATCACTGCTGTTGCTGATAGCACTAAAACGCGAGGCCATGCCTCTTACGTGATTGACAACGAAGCTACTAACAAGTATGGGCTTCGTGAGGTCTATTACGTTATTTCAGTCAAAGCCTCCTACGCGATTGCACAACGCTCTGTGGAAATCTTCTACGAATCTATCGGCGCTCTTTCCGCGGTCGAAGGCGCATATCCCGTTCTCATCTGGCAGCACATCACCGAAGGTTCGCTCAAAGGCAGTACCCGCAACGGCGGCAGCGCGATGGGTTTCGATGCCAACGGCAGCCCGATCCACATCATCCAGCTAGCGTGTAGCTGGAACAACGCCGCAGATGACGAGACTGTATACCAGGTAATGTCAGACATCATGAAGGCGATCAAGAGCGACGCGGTAAAGTTGGGTATGCAGAACGACTGGGTGTATATGAACTATGCATCGATGTTCCAGGACGTTATCGCGAGTTATGGGTCAGGCAGCAAGAGTATGATGAAGACTATTGCGAGCAAGTATGATCCAAAGGAGGTGTTCCAGAAGCTGCAGCCTGGGTACTTCAAGTTGGATCGCGCGCCCGTGCCTGATGCAAGGTACTTTTCGTACTGAGGTCACATCAGTGGGCGTGCGACATAAAAGTTTGTACAAGGCCTTCTATTTCCGGCAAAGCGCAATAATGCTGTGCAACTTGTTTCTTCCTTTCATTAATCATGTGTGAAGTACAAGCAACCGTATATCTGATGACTTGTCCACGAACTGCACGAAACCGGACCGTTACAAGATGACGTTAAGATAGCGCGGGGGCGATGATCCGCGTATCGGGACTGCACGGTCTTGAAGTCCACTCCTTCTTCCTCAATCACTCCTTCCAGTATGCTGTTCCGGTACGCTTCCCAATCCTCTTTGGGTCTGTCTCGTAGTAGCGTGGAGACGTACTGGCATTCTTCGTCGAACTCATCCAGGGTACCTATGATGCACGGGAACTGCACAAGAGAGTTGCCTGAAAGGATATGCTTTACTGACGTAGGAAACAATTCCGGGTCGCTGCAAGCAGCGTCTTTCTCGTTCGCGAAAGCCAGTGCAAGATCATCTCGCGTCGGGAATGGAGAACGTTGGTCGTGCGTGCAATCCATAGCTGCAGTGTATAATGCTGCGATAGCTCTGATTTTGTTCCAGATGATCTGAACAGTGTCAAATGGTCCGATAAAGTGCGTCGTGACAAGCAGTCGGGTATCTCGACCTCAAGATAGGCTGACCGCTTCATTGATCCAGGTGATTGTGCGAGGCACGGCATTAGAGACTCTACACTCGGTCCACCGATGCTCGCTATACGGGTTTGTGCTCATTTGTGCGAGGTCCCCGTAGTCATTTAGAAAACTGCTCAGGTTTTAGGGTATATTAGGCATGCAGATAATGCTGTCGGAACTTACACGCACCGCCAGAGGTCGACATATCTATCCACCGATAATTGCGGAACCGCATCGCAGGTAGCTAGTATCCCTCGTAGGTGACATTCTGGAAGGGCGACAGACTTCTCTTCTTCCAGTATCTTGACATTCCGCATCTGATTACGATACTGAGGCTGTAGTGCGTCCAGGAATCGTATCGCCTGGGATGTGGCTGATTGGAAGTATCTTAGATCAGGTAGAGAGACTTCGAAGTTGTACCATGTGTCTGGGCGTGGAGCTTCAAAAAGGTCTCGTACTTCGATCAATTGGTATTCAGTAGGTAAGGCCCAGGGCTGCCATAGCGTAGTAGCGATTGTTGATCGCATATGATCGAGTTTCAGAAGACTCAGCTGCTCTATGGACTGCCTCTCACGCTCATCATGAGGACTGGTTTCGTACCAATTCTTCATGAGCCGATCCAAGATGCTGAATCCGCGGTTTCTTCGGGGTATGTTGGTGCGGAATCTACTAAGCTTGAGCGCAGGGCCAAAACCGAGGATATCCACACAGCAGCTTCGTGATTTGAGCCGTTCTGAAAAGTCTGCCTGCGAAGTCAGACTTGGAAGACAAGCCTGAAGGACTTCACGATCATGGTATGTCATCGATGATGGATTTCCCATGATGTCCTTCAGAGGCACATAATCTTCGTCCTCGTACTTGGAGATCCGAGTGAGAAGATCGCTGATGCAGCTGTCGGGATACTGCTCGGACACGTCTTTCGCGAGCTGCTCCAGAGCTATAACATGACGGTTAGCATGACGTGGCTTTGGTGGAAGACATTTGACAGCAATGATGGACTGACCTGATGTTGATGCTCCCAATACGAAAGCTTCTTCCTGCAAGAAGTGCAGACGTTCCAATAAGAAGTCGTACTTCCCTGCTTGAGACCACGCATCCCAGATATCAGACCCTTCCTGCGGGCTCTTGATGTATCGAAAGGGCCTAAAGACCACTTCATTCACCCTGAGCGGCAGATCTCGCATCTCGCAAGCGACCATCTTACAAATCCACATCAAGCTGAAATCGATGATCTGGCCATCATAACACCGAAGCTTGTTGGTGCTCGGGGAGTGTACTTAGCCTCCAGGCTCTTGTAAGTAGTAGGTGTAGATCTCATCGCGGAGTTCTCGGGGCAGACTCAGAAGACGTGATTGTCGCTGCTGGTAAGCAGGTTGCGTTGTCATAATTAGGTGGTGTGGTAGATGTCAAGTGATGAGATTAGGCACATATTATAGTGAGATGGGAAAGGACACATGCCATTTAAGGACAACTGGCTTTCATCGTGCGTCAGGCAGCAGCATTAAATCCTGTAGCCTTGCGAGTTCGATACGCGGACGCGTCAATGATGCGACACAAACTCGGTAGAGCGAATCTTGGGGTCCCTCAGTTTGAAGTTCGGGTGCACTAGCTACCCGTAGCTACGCTTTCCTCCTCTGCGTCTCTGCCGAACACGTGTGTTATCTCCTCTACACATTGCCAAAGCCCTTCGAGTTCCTTATCGCCAACCCCAACTTCCCCTCCAACAACCCCTTGTCGCCATAATCCGGCAAATACAGCTTCCCAAAACACGTGCTACTACTCGGCAAGCTCCCCGGGCTTCCCATGATCCTAACGATATGGAACGTGATACTCTCGTAGCCCGTAACAGGGACACGGTCAGACGCAGTAACGAACTCGAGAAGCCGGCGGAGGTCTTCTTGACTGTAATGCTCGACTACATCCCAGAAAGCGCGGATGTTGGAGTGTGTGGGAGTGTAGCCGTCTTCGTATTTCGCGTAGCGTTTCAAGTCGGGGATGGAGATGTGCTGTGTGCCTTCGATGAGGTTGCGGAGGGAGTGTGGGGTGAAGAGTTGGAGGCTCTTTGGGTGGATGCAGGTGAGGAAGCCGTGCAGGAAAGGGATGAGGCCTGGGGCGACGGAACTGTATGTCAGGGCGCGGACATAGTCCTTCACGTATTGTACGCGGTTCTCGTTTGTGACTAGACCGGGGTCTTTGATTGGGGAGTTCGATTCAGCGAGGGCAGGGAAGTTATCACTTAGATTTTGGTGGATGGGCTGGCCGAAAGCTGAGTAGCTGAATACGTACTCGCGCATGAAGACGTCTGCGACGTCGCCGTCGCTCCAGGATAAGAGGGTGCGGAAACTTTCTGCCAGGCCGGGCCAGCCGTCTTTGATGTAATCCACGGGGTCGTAGTCGGCTACACCTTCGACGCGCGGGTTGCCGGTGGTTTGGAGGTACTCGTAGAAGGCGAGGGGAAAGGTGACGGGTAGGGTGATGCCGTTGTATACAGCAAGACTGAATAGTATACCGAGCATCTGAAACTTCCAGGGGGGTTCAAAGCTGCCTGGTTGGAACCACGTCATGTGCGTATGTGGATCGATCGTGAACATGCCTGGCAAAGTTAGTCGAATAGTTTGCAAGAGTAAAATGTGGCTCACCATTCTCGGGCCTGAAAGCTTCACTCAGAACAACACGGAAGAACTCGTACGTCACGCCGCCGTGATCCGCACCGACTTCTCCTTCGTTGTGACCCATCTTGACCTTGAGCGGTTTCAGCAACATCCTCTTGTCCATACCCCACAGCTGATCAAGTGTGTCCTTCAAAGGTTCTTCGCGACTGACATCCAACACTAGGTATTCACTCAGGGTAGTCTTCATTTTTCTCTTAATAATCCACCAATACGGTTCTTTGAGGAACATCTCCAGCGACTTCTGCATTTGGTGGGTGCGCATAGTATGGTCGTACTGCTTCATCATCTCGGTGAAGTTGATGGTACGGAAATACGCCACGAGATGTTGCGCGGAGAAGAGGCATGGGTACTCGAAAACGTGTAGAGTATTGGGGTGAAGCTCCCATGTGAGGTAGTTGATAGGCTCATTTACTGTGTCAATGCGTTCATCGAGTATCGGCATTTCGAACATGTTGGAATGTAAGTATAGAGCTTGCCGCTTCGAATCTGTAGATGTTAGCTTAGTCATAGTAGAAACATCCTGTATGCTTACGAAGTTTGTCGAGGACCATCACGGCCGTACCAACGCTGCTCCATTTGTTAATTTCAGCCTTGCTGTCCCATTTCTTGACGATGATAGTTCTCAGCCACTCCATAAAAGTAGCTGTCACAGTCCACCCTGGGTCTCCATCGCGATCATGGCTCGAGTTCAGCCTCAACTTTGTCGCCATACCGACTCGCTCTACCACCTCCAGATGTTGCATAATCGTATCCATGAGCCCGGGAGAAGGTATAACTTGTTCTGACTCATCCCGACTCGTTTCTGCGATGTCTAAACTGGCGAGTATATGTTCGAAACAAGTCCGCGTCCCGATAGCCCGAAGTAAACGATCGGCAAGACGCACTGCCGGTTCGTACTCCAACTCGTCGATGATGTCCATATAGGGATGCGCAAAAGCGTCGGTATTGGGAGTAGCAGTGGGCACCATGACACCCCAAGATCGAAGCTTCCGTATTTGGGCCCATGTGTGCGGCCATCCAAGAGGTACCAGGGAAGTGAGTGCGTGTATGCATATCATAACGATATGAGCAGCTTCATGGGTGTCGAGATAGCGCGAGGTACCTTGATGACCACTGGATGACTGGTCGGATGGACTGTTATTGGAAGCGCCCTTTCTTGATGGCCTCAGACGAGGACTCTTCTGAATGTCGAGCTCAGGTGGAGAGATGAACAAAGCATCCAGGGCGAGCCACAGGCTATCGAAGATGAGCGCACCGTTGCGATGGTTCCAATCTCTAAAAGAGTTCGCTAAGCGTGATGAGTCGAGATGAGATAAGGGTGAGTCTTTGAAGTCTTGGTTGGTATCATGGAATGATGCAAGTAGCTTTTCTGGGTCACTCAAGGTATAGAACAGAGATCGGTTGACGAGGGGTTTTGTACGTCGCGTACGTCGCCGACGATCAAAGTCCACAACGTAATTGAAGTCTGTAGAATGGCTCTTGCCGTAGCGATGGACGTCGTCTTTGAGCTCATCGAGGATATTGGAATTCAATGTTGGGATGACGGGTACACCGGATGATGAATATTCCTCAACAAAGGTGTTCTTAGGTAGTTCGGTTGCTGCGGATGATGGCTTCGCGCGGGGCGCAGCAGCCGGGTATGTCCCACCGATAGTGAAGCTTTTCTTTCCTGTTTTCGAGATTGATAGCATCGCTAGATCTGATGCACCATCCACGGCAGTAGGATGTGCTGCTGAAGGAGGATGTCTTTGAGTCGTGCCGTTCGAGGGATGGTAGGGTATCCTGTGGACATGGTGCCCGTTAGCCAGGACCTCGGCGCCAGCGTTGTCTGGCTGTGAACTGTCACGAATGGCGGCTGATGGTTGTGAATGCTGACGAACGATACGCGAGTCCTCATTCAATGCGTTCGAGCCGTTTGTACCAAACGTTGGCCCGGTATTTGAATCCGCATCATGCCCGTTTCGTCGGGAAGGCGGTATAGCGGAGGCTTGAGTAGAACGAGCGTCATGTGCAGGAGTATGCTCGGATTTGCGAAGTGAAGCAAGGACAGAAGCAGGTGTGGGTATTTGCGTGGTATAAGAGTATATCATAGTCAAGCTGTCGTACAAGTTCTGACTAAGAGCCTTTGGATCTTTTCTAGCTTGCTGCCGTTGCTTGAGAGCATTGATCAGGTCGCCATCCAGCTCTTGTTGACCACTATTTCCCACACGACGTTGCCTGCGCTGTTGTGCTAGTTGCCATACCGAAGGATAAACAACGTAGTCCTCGGCGGAGCCGTTGCTAGCATGTTGGGCAAGGCTATTTGTAATCTCGAATGACTCAGGCGCGACCTTGAGCTCGTGGGGGCATAGGCCGCGGTTCGGGTTGTCTTGACCGGCGAGGTAATGGGCTAGGGCGGTGGCCGTGAGCAATGTAGGTGGACGGTGTGGTCTCGACGCGATGCGCTTGCCAGATGAGAGGCACGTGGGAGTATCGCAGTAGGCACTCTTACAGCCATGTAGGATCTGGGATAGGTAGCTAGTCAACAGTCAGCATTCGCCCCGGAAATGAGAGGGAGTGATGGGCGCACTGTCGGACAAGATGTTGGAAGCGGCGCTGTCTTTCTGTCTGTGAGCATTCCAGGACGCGTTTGGTGTCTTGTACGTCTATCAGATCTTTCCTACGCGAGCGGTTCGAGGCACGTGATGACCGTGTCGATGGGCCAGCCGCTGCAGAAGCCGATGGGGTTTGGTTGGTGGCATTGTACGGAGCATCGCGAGGGTGCTCAGTCCCGTCTGACATGCTCATATCATCGATGACGATGTTGTTGCAAGAGAGAGTGGCGGCTAAGGATGCGGTCTGGTATTGTATGTGCGAGTGTCATGGTATCGCATAGCCACTCGAGGTATACTGTAGCAGACGATAGGGCTGAGGTAGTGGCCGAGGGGTGCTCTTGCCCTGCGGCTCTAATCCGCTGCAGGGATGGCAGGTGCCAGTGGCTTGGCACAACGCCTGCCGATTGATGTCATGCCTGTGCGCTTCAATATTCGCCCCAAGTCGGCCTTTTGCGCAATTCACCATCTTCGCCGTGCGCAGGACTGCTGATAAGACGCAGAATCCGACGCCCGCGCTTTCTCAACTTTGTAATCGCGCCCTGCTCGGCCTAGTCGTTTTTTGCCCCTCGGCCAGTCATAAAGTCGTGAAATCGTCGGCGCTACCACATCCCACACTCAACCCCACCTACCGCCTATATTTCTACTCCTCCCTCCGAGTGCAACCACATCGTCAACCTCCCAAACACTCGCAAAGATGGCGTCGCAAGTTCCTTCCCAGGCTAACATCCAGTCTACGCATCCCTTCACTTGCAACACATGCCAGGTCGCCTTCCGCTCGAGCGAGTTGCAGCGGGCGCACATGCAGACCGACTGGCATCGCTACAACCTCAAGCGTCGCGTGGCCTCGCTCCCACCGCTATCCTCGGAGATCTTCACCGAGAAGGTTCTTGCGAACAAGGCCACCGCTGCCGCCACTGCCGCCAAGGCGTCGTTTGAGAAACTGTGCACCCCATGCCAGAAGACATACTTCAGCGAAAATGCCTACAACAACCACCTCAACAGCTCCAAGCACCGCATCAACATGGCCAAGTCGGGCAGAGGCGCGCAACTAGATGACGCCGCATCGGTAACGGGCTCCATGGTCAGCTCTGCCTTTTCGCTGGGAGAGTCCATGGCTGAGTCGGAAGCCACCACCGTCAACGGGGATAAGGATGTTGCAGATGTCGCCGAAGGTCTGCAAAATACCAGCCTTGAGGGCGAGGACGCAGCTGAGGACGAATCCGCCGCTGCTGAAGACGACAAGAGCTCTGTCGCCGCATCGACCAAGCCCGCTACCGATCCCCTCCTCGACTGCCTATTCTGCAACTACAGGTCGCCCAACTTCCAGCTCAACATCACCCACATGGGACGATACCACGGCATGTTCATACCCGAGAAGGAATTCCTTGCTCAACCCGAGGAGCTTATCAAGCATCTCCACGAGAAGGTCCACGCTTACCACGAGTGCCTGAAATGCCACAAGACTCTCCACACCGCCTCTGGCATTCAAACGCACATGCGCGACCGCGGCCACTGTATGATTGCTTTCGACTCGGATATTGAGTTGGTCGAGATTGGCGAATTCTACGACTTCCGGAGCTCTTACCCCGACGCTGCCGACTTCGACGAGATGGCAGAGGAGGCTGAAGATTCAGACGATTCGTCATCTACAACAGGAGGCGGAATCAAGCTCGGTGCCAGGCGCGAGACCAAGACCACCACAGAGGATGACGCAGCCATGTCGAGCAACGCCGAGGAAGACGCAGGCTGGGAGACCGACAGCACCGTCTCGAGCGTACCGACCGATGAGATCACCGCCGTACCCATCGACCGCAGCCACCGCCACAAGTCACTCAACAAGTCGAAGCACCACAATCACGCCGACCCCCGCCCACACCGCGCTGCCGACGGCTTCCACTCCCACGCGCACCACACTCCCCAAGCCGTCTACCACGACGAATACGAGCTCCACCTCCCCTCCGGCCGCACCGCTGGTCACCGCTCACTAAACAAGTACTACCGCCAAAACCTGCGCAACTACCCCGGTGTCGCCGAGCGCATGGAGGAAGCCCAACGCGCCCGCATACCCGGTGCCATCACCGCCGGCGACGAAGACGAAGAGGACCAGGACGGCGACGTCACCATGGACGGCGAGGAAGGCGAGGAGGGCAGCCAACTCCAAGTCCGCGGTCGCGGCCACGACAAGGACCGCCAGCTCCTCTCCCGCGCCAACGGCGGGCGGGGCATGGTCGGTGTCACTGATGCCAAGAAGAAGGAGATCCAGGCTGTCGAGAAGCGCGATAGGAGGAAGGAGCAAGCTGCTCGCAGTCGCTACCAGGCTAATGTTGAGAAGGCGCAGAACTCGCAGAAGCACTTCCGCGATCCCCTCCTGCAGTAGTTGGAAGGATTTCCCGTTTGTGGGCGGATTGGCGGTTGTTTTTGGGTTCTTTTTCTTTTATAAGTGTGTCTTTTTAACGAAACTTTTATAAGCATGGGGAGGCGTTTGCGTGGAGACAAAAGGCATTACGTCTAGTGACTAGAATGTCGCAGACTCTGTGATACACTTTGGAATATGAATTACATCACAAAAAAGATTGAGCTGCTCAGAAGTTCCGTGCTTTTATCGTGACAAGGTTTCCTGTATATGCTACGCATGTTTGACACTGATAAATCGACTTCATATCCATGACATTATCGTACGTTTCCCTACATACCAACATCCACCATGTCACATCCGCCAACCTTTTATCCCACATCCAAACCACATCCATCTACCAAACCACATCCCCAATCTTTCCCCAATAATCCCTCAACCAAACTACCTCCTCTCCCCCTCACCCTCCCCCCTCAACCCCGCAGCATGCACCTGCCTCCTAATATCAAACAACGCATCATCAATCTCCCTCTCCTCCTCGCGCCCTAGCACCAGACTGGGGCTGCGGAAAAGATATTCCTTGAGGCTCTTGAGCTGGTTGATGATGCTGCGGGGGGTGAGAATGACGCGTTCGGCGAAGGTGCGGGGGGGTGTTTCTGTTCCTGTTGCTGATTGTACGGGGAGGCGTTGTTGGTGTGCGGGTTGGGATTGTTGGTGTGAAGGTCCGGCTCCTCCTTCGCCTTCAGATTGAGCTTGAAGCTCCCCCACACTCTCCCCTCCCTCCACCACATCCCCATCCCCATCCCCACTCGCATCCCTCCCAACCCCATCCATCTTCCCAGACCCAGAAGACCTCGGCCTCGGACTAACCTGCACATGACTCAACCTCTTACTCCCACTACTCCCCGGCGTCGTCCTCTTCGCTTCACTAACATCCTGATCCGCATTCTGTCTCGCTCGCTTAGGCGCTGGAGTTTCATCCACAGTAATATCCTGAGAGTTTTCGACTTGCGAGAGGAGGGATTGGGAGCGGCGGAGATTTTGCTTCCGAGTAGTTGTTGCGGGGACGGGGATGGGGGGTTCGGTGGTGGTAGTGGTAGTGGTAGTGGTGGTAGGGTGAGTAGATTTACGTTTCTTGCCTCGTGGGTTGGAAGTTGGGACTGGGGCGGCGACGGTGATGTTGTCGAGGATGTCGGTGTCGGAGGGGTGGGATGGTTCTGGCTCTTGTTGTGGCTCGGGAGCTGGAGCGGCAGCTGGAGCAGGCGCTGGACTCTCTTGCGTCTGTTTCTTGCCGTTCTTCTTGTTCTTTGCGGGTGTGCGTCTGGGTTTTTTTCCACTTGGAGGCCGAGAGGGGCTTCCCATGGAGTGGCGGGAGGAACTACGCAGGGAGTACGGTGTTCCTTTTGCGGAACTGTTATCGAAAGAGTCACCTACTCGGCTAGTGCTGCTTGTGTTGGCTTGGGAGCTCTTGCGTGGAGACCGGCGGGCAGGACCGCGAGTTGGCGTCTGTGACTCGTCTACTTCGGTGTCGCTGCCAGCTTGGTCCTCCAACATTGATGACTGTGGATGTGATGCAGCATCGACGTATTCGGCATTCGAATCTGATTGTGCGGACTCTGTCGCTTCTGCAGAAGCATCATGTACTTGCATATCGGCGTCGATTTGCGCTGTGAGTTGCAGGTCTATGGTGGAGCTTGGTACGTCTGACATGACAGTGTCTGAAGGGAGTTCAGCGTCCATTTGTGTGTTGTCGTGGAGAGCAACAGCATCAAGCAGTGCTTCCTCATCGATTGTCGTTCCTTCATCAAAGGAAACCGAGACTGAGCTTTCTGGTTGACGGTACTCAAAGCTGGATCCTACGAGAACATCAGGCTCGCTTTGCTTGGTGTTAGATCTGTCATCCTTGCTGAACTGAGGCGGCGAAGAGTTCAGATCATCGTTCGCAAACTGTATGCTCCGCACGGCCGTCGGTGTTGCAATGTCCGTGTCCTCGCTCACAATATGACGAGTATTCTTGCGGGAATGTGGAGTTGGCGACGATCCAAGGTAGCCGTCCATAGGACCCATGGCTGCGAGAGCCCTTAGTGGAGTTGCCCGGGAGGCGGTGTCTGGCAGGTCATCTGCAGTCAACGCATCTGAGTGTATCTCCATCGGCGATGGCACATCCTCTGGCTGTGGCGAGACAGCGCCCATTTTAGCGAAAATACCGCTGCTAAGTCTTTGACGATCGATCATCTCCTTTTGTCGATCAGTCAATACCTGTGATTCTTGCTGGAACGGGTTCGATGGTGAGGAGACGATAGGTTCGAATTTGATCTGAGAGTCGTCGTGGCGGAGACGAATCTTCGGCGTTTGTCGCGAGGGCACTCTCCTGTTAGCTGAGGTGGGTACTGCTGGAGACCGAGACTTGGATCTTCGTGATGTTTTAGAGATCTTGAAGGGCGAGGCCTTTACTCGCGGGCTCTTGAAAGCACGTTTGACCTCGTCCGCACTCGTGTCGGAGTCGTAGAACGAGAGCTTGTTCTCCTGTTTTGACGTTAATAACGTTTTGAAGGTACTGATATTTGCACTTACAGCATCGTCTTCCCGGATTTCCAGTGATGGAAGAGAAAGCTCGACACTGTTCCGTAATTGGCGCAGGGCCTGCTCAAGTCGAGTGGGGTATCGCAAGCTATCCTCTTTCCCAAAGGTGGCATTCCAGGTCGCAATAGAGATGTTGACGATACTTCGGCGTCTGCTTAGGAAGCCTGCGGTCACCAACGCTTGTAGATGAAGCAGCGTTTGGCTGTCCTTGCGCGGTAACCGCTCTACAGCTTTGTTGACTTCCTCCCACATGTTGATGACCTGGAAATGGTTAGTGATTGCTGGAGCTTTCGGATGACGGTGAACGTACCTCACGATGCAAGCTCTTCAGTAGCTCTTCCCTGCTCTGCATCTTCTTCTCCGGGTCTTCCACCCAAATCTGGATCGCATCTTGTATCTTGCGTAGATACCCAGCGAGATGCGACGTCGAGCAGTGTTGGACCGAGGTGCTTAGCGCAGAAAGAAAGCCTTTGGTAGGCTCTACATCGTCTTTGTCAAGATTCCTGTAAGCGGCTGACCCAACGGAAGTGACGGCTCCGTAAAGATGAACATAAGGATCGATATCGTGGGACCTTGCAGCTGTGTTCGAAGGCCAGAGATTCTGCCGACCTTGATCCATCACTTTGCGGCTCATCTGCTTTGGTAGGTTGCGGAGAAGAATGCTGGCGTATGCCAGACAGGAAGCTTTGTCTTCGTCAGGTGTGCGCTTCAGGACTTGCTCAGAAACCTTTTCAATGACAGCGAGTGCAAGTGCACCTTCTCCTGCTTCTCGTCGGACGGTACCGACCAAAGTCGACAAAATTTGATGCCCGACGGGCTTGTCTAGCAAGTAGGCAGAACCCAGACTGAGGATTTCCACCACAATTTCGTACTCTTTGCCCAATGAGCGAGCGCTGCGGTCGCCCGAAGGGGCTGTTTGATCTTGCAACATGGTATCGAGCAATGTCACAATCCGCGTCCAGAACTCTGATGCCACTGCACCCTTCAGCGAGCCATCCACCGTCGCGGCACAGTCTCGAAGAAGCTCCAACTTGCTCAACCGAGTGTTTTGGGCAGCAAAACAGGGCTCGATGATCACGTCCATTGCGCGGAGTCGAACAGGATCAGCTAGCTTTCCTTCTGATTGTGTGACGAGAAGATCCAGCAGGAAGAGGAGTGGGGACGATCGGGTGCCTTGGTGCCGTGATCGATGTGATGGTGTCGATGCGACTTCGATCTCGTTGTCGGCGTTGCGTGTGAGACATTTGTCTGCGAACTGAAAAGCGCCCATCTTCTGCACAACAGTCTCTATCAAAAAGCAGAACTTGGTTGCCCAAAGATCCTCCCTCTTCTGTTCTACCGCAATGTTGTCCGTGTGGCTGTCCCAGATTCGACGGAGCAGGTTGATGATATGTGCCATGGCATCTTTGGTTTCTGTGGACGCCATGATCTCCTTGCTGCTTGCTTCCACCAAAGAGTTGATGACTGCTGTCCACATCGTCTGAAACGGTTCGTCTTCGTGCTCTTTGCTTTCAGTCTTGAGTGCAGCCTCTAGAATATTCTCCACAAACTCTAGTACAAGAGCAATCGACTTCCGTACCCACTTGGGATCGACCAGAGGTAGCTCCCCTCGCTGGATCATGAAATTCGGCCTGAGATCTAGCGCCCGATTCTCCTTCCAAGGTTTCCGAGAGCCATCCAAGAGAGCAGACACAATTCGGCATGGTATGGCGTGCTGCGGAGCAGACTTTGCGATTATTGGACTCCAGAGGCCAGCTATGAAGTCAGTCCAATGCCCGTCAAATTGTTCAAAAGAGGCTGCTGGTCGAAACGCATAATACAGCACTGTGAAGTACGCGGATGAAACAGCATCGCGCTCGGCTTTCTTTACTGGGGTCTTCCGTTGCAGTGCATGTACTGAGATTTTAACGAACATCCCCGACCAGGCTTTGACTTTCTTTTCTTCGGGTAAGTTCATGAAGTTGACGGAGTAGGCCAGGAAGGCAACGGCGACATTGGAGTATAATCGGACTTGGTCGTTGTCCGATGACAGGCACTTATTAATGAGGACGAGCCATTCCTTCAAACCTGCAAACGCATCAAGCGAGTCTTTGAGTAGACCCGTGACAGCAGCCACGATCTGTGGCACCAAGACGGCGTAATCACCACCGAGCATACGATCCAGTTCACCTGCGAAAACGCTAGCAATGGTGCCGCCGTCGCTCTTAACCCGGTTCAGAACAGACAAGACGGATTTGGCGACATATCGGTCATGGCCAACGGTCTTTGCAGCCGTTACTGCAGTGTCCAGTGCGCTTTGGCTGATATCCTTCTGAACCGACACCAGAGCTTTGAGAGTATGCGTGAACCATCGTTCGGTATGCCTGATCATAACGTCCGGGCGTTGCTGAAGCAGCTTCCTGTATATCCGGACCCTGTATGCCTGTACCGCGTGGCCCGATGTTCGCTCGTGGATGGTGTCTAGTGCCTCGAGCACCTTCTCGACGCGTGTCGCAGTCATCGTCTTCGACCGGAAACTTTGCTGCATGAGCACAGCCAGGTGTGTGTTGACGGTGGTCTTGGGCATGGAGCTATCGGAAGCTACGCGGATGATGCGGTCTATGATGAAGGAGCAGAAGTCTTCGTCCATGGTGGATATCAAGTCGGTGATGCGGAACAGAGCCATGAGCAGCTTCATCGCTTGTCCAATGAGCTGCGAGTCTAGCCCTGTCCCGCCCACGCCTGGAGCTGCTATGTCGCGTCGGATGAACTGGGTCAACAGAGACATCTTCTGCTTCAGCGCCTGGGGGTCGGGTATCTTGTCGTATGCCTGCATTGTCCTCTGCAAAGATCCATATGCATCTAACCGAGTTCCGCGCTCGGAAGAAGCGAGCAGCTTCACTATCGCGTCCAGCATCTCGGCGAATGACTTGTAATTGAGCGGGTTGGCAGCGTCTTCTGCGGGAGGTGTTTGCGTGCCGTCGGAAGGCTTCAGGATCGATTTGAGCGGCTTGGTGAGGCGGTTCTGGGGGAGGGGCTTCAGCGGTGAGCTACGCGTGGGTGTCCAGGACTGCGCGACTGCCTTGTTGGTGGGTATGTCGCATAGCTGCAGCTCGAAGTTGACTCTCTTCCGTGCGCTGGCTGAACTCGAGGGGATGTCGATGTCGGACGACGGCGATTGCTCTGGCGTGTTGGGCACTCTCTTCGCTGCTCGGAGCCTGGGCGGGATCGGCTTCTCGCCAAAGGGGTCTTGGAGGAATTGCACCGTCTCGTCGGCGGCTGTGTCTTCTTGGTCTTTGGGTGGAGTCGGAGGGCGCACGGAGAGAGATTCGAATTTGGACGACACCATGGCTATGCCGGGAACCCGCTAGCAAGAAAAGAGAATAAAAGCACAAGAAGACGCTGGCATCGCTCTGGTATGCGTGAGTGAATGTGTCGAGCGTGTGGAGGTGATCGACTACCCCGGTCTACAAGTCAAAGGTTGGTGTTGGCGACGCGTCTAGCGCGACGCTCCTCGTGCGCGTAAAGTGCTAACCTTAACCGCCATCCACTGGACGACGGGCACTCGAGCCAGCGCCCGCCCCCTGCGTCCGAAGCATGTTTTGTTATGCCAGTCTGATGTGCAGAAGTCCTTCAGCGCATATGGTCATGCGCTCTGATATGATGAGAACGAAGCAAAGGATCAACGTATTCCGTATTTGAATGTTGCTTCTATGGCGTGATGCTGCAACCATATGTGAGGGCATCACGCCAGATGGAACAATATCTGTTCTAAAAACGATAAACGATCAAGGCATTCCTGAATAGAGTATGGCTACTTGCTTTATGGCACCTATTGTGGTTCGTTGCTTGTTGATGCGGACCCTGGAATGCGACAGTGATGCAGGTCCCACAATAGTGGGGCTTTCCGAGCGCGAGCTTCCACCCCGAGTGACGTGATGCGCTCTGATCGTGTCCTGCAACACAACCGCCATGTTGTCGCAAAGAACAGGGAGAGGTCGGTTATTCCCAGGAGTATTATCTTATCTGAAATTCACTAACGGCGTAACAGCAAAGCTCGACGACGTCACCAGAATCCTTTCTGAGTTGAAAGCCGATTTGGACGCGAAGAAGCTGTCTACTCAGCGCATGTCTCCCACCCTATATACACATACCTTGCGCTGACCGATCGGATAGAAAAGCAACAGCTACTCGAACAACTCAAAGTACACGGCCGATCAGTCGAGAACTCCGATCCTATATTCACGGAAGATGTACGCTACGCTTTGCGCAGAGCGATGGGAACGGCGTAGTGACCGTTACAGGGCCTTCGGACACTAGGACGCCATGCATTTGACGCAGAGACCACTGTCGCATCACAAGAGGCTCTGCGATGTATAGCCAACGCCCTTCTCCTCCAACCCAAGACGCGCCAGATACTCGTCGACCTAGGCCATGGCCCACACGCAGCGGAGAAGCTGAAGGTACGCAGACATCAGCGACGATTAGACACAGGGCTAGACTGATCTTTAAGCAGAGCGAAAGCATCGACAACGAGTTCCTCGCCTCCCGCATCCTCTTCCTCACAACCTACGACACAACCCTCGACTACACGCAACTCGTCCGCTCCAACGACCTAGCCTCCAGCATCAACGCGGCCATAACGCGCCATGCGCAGCTATACTCCAAGTCCGGACCAGCAGGCCCAAAAGGCCACAACCAACCCATGGAAGTCATGGCGCTCGCCGAAACCCTCAAACTCGTCTTCAACATAATCCACTTCCACACCGACCTCAGCCCCCACTTCACCCCCTCCATACCTTCCGTCTTCAAGATCCTCGTCCGGCGCGGCGTAACTGAACCACCATTAACGGTCCCAGCCCGCGAACTCGTCAACGTGCTCCTGCACCTCGACCTAGAGTGTGAAGAAGGCAAAAAAGCCGTTTTCCCTGCTTTCGAACCGAGAACAAATGCAAGACACCTGATCTGCATCCTCTCCCGCGCCCTCATCGCCTACCCACCCAAAGAACTCGACGACGCCGTCGCACCCGTTCTAACGCTCATCCGCCGCATATACGAATTCGCACCTGAAGACGTGAAGAAGACGATGGAGGAAATGCTCCTTCCCACAACCGAAGAACGCGATAAGCCGCTCGGGAAATCAAACACGCTTTCCTCGCGCCTGCTCAACCTCTCCACCTCCGCCCTGACACCCGCGCTTCGCGGCTCAATCTCTTCGATGCTCTTCGAACTCTCAGGCAAAGACCCAGCGACGTTTGTGCATAACGTAGGCTATGGATATGCGTCGGGTTTCCTCATGTCGAACAACATTAGCATGCCGGAGGATTTGGTTAGGGCGAATGCGGAGGCGGGTGATGTCGAAGGGGGTATTCCTGTGAACCCTATCACAGGACAGAGGTTGGATAGGGAGGAGCAGGTGGAGATGGAACCTATGACGCAGGAGGAGAAGGAGAGGGAAGCTGAGAGGTTGTTTGTGTTGTTTGAGAGGTTGAAAGCGACGGGTGTGATGGATGTGCAGAATCCGGTTGAGGAGGCGTATCGCTCGGGGCGGATTCAGGAGTTGCCGGATGATGAGTCAGATTGAGGTACGGCTGCAGGGCATTGTTAATGCAATGGGCCACATCATGCATACGTGAGACTTGGACTGATATAGTGATAAACTATGGATTGATACTATTGAAAGATAAATATAAGAGGTCTTTGCCATACATGTCCCAAGTTGCCCAGTTTCCTCCACTCCACCATTTTTGAAATAAGATGTCGAAATCGTCCAAAATGATGTGAGATGTTGCTCCAACGCCGTGGAAATGCTGTCGTATAACGGCAAGAAAAGTCAAGGGTATGTCGCGAGCTGAAAATGTATCGTCCGATGAGAGATGGTTCTTGGTACAGGTAACGCTTTTCTAAGAAGCCGTTGGGGATATATGTCGTAAATGTGCTGATGATATGTTGACGTGAGCGTCGAGAACGCCGGACAGCGCGTGGTACGCATTGGTTGCTAGTTGTCGCTAGGTGGTGAAGCTGACTTCGAGTAATTCGGATAGTTGCGATAACCGACATCATCCCGGTGATACTGGTCATCCGCGCGACGAGGATACGCAGCGGGAATCTCGATGCTCGGCAGAAAGCCCGTGCCGTTCTCGTTGTTATACTCGCTGATCCAGAGCGGGCTCAGGATGCGCTTCAGTGTTGTGGCTATGAGGCTTCCGAGGTAGGCATTGACGCGGCAGACGGGGTAGGCGGCGAGCCAGAGGAGAAGGACGATGCCTGCGCCTTTCTGCCAAGATGACATGCCTGCAACAGTCGCAAGAGGAGGTTTGTCCTGAATCTTTGCAACGCGGGAGGGGAGGTCGCCGAGCCAGTCGAAGATACCGCATGTGTGCAAAAGAAAGGCAGAGCTGCAAGCGCCGGCAGTGTAGGCCGCGAGCTTTGTGTTGAGCTTGTACAGAACAGTGAAGATGAATAGGGTACCGACCATGGCTATGAAGCTGCGGACGAGTAGTGTGACAAGTGCTGGTATCGCACTGAGGAAAGCGAAACCTTCAGCGATATGCTCAGTTTGCGTCTCGAAGATGTCCAGACGTTGCGCAATACTGTCGACTGTAGAAAGAGAGCGATCTGCGATATCGTTCGTTCGATTGATGGTATCCTGTGTGACGCCCATGTAGCCTGCTAGAACAGTGTAGCTGTCGACTTGCGCCTCGTGGTTGGATTGAATGCTCACCCTGGCTAGGTCGTGGTATTGTTGGAGTTCGCCACTGAACTGCTTCGCCAGCTGTGAGCTTTCTAGCATCAAATCTTGCGAGAAGTCTTGCATCCTCTCATGTATCCGGTGGATCTCGTTGCTCTGACTCTCGGCTAGAGCTGTAATGAGATCCGAGATTGACACCTCCATGAAAGTATGAAACTTGTCATCCAGCGCACTCACAGTGGCGACGGCCTTCTCCTGGACCGCCTGGATGTCTTCTTTGAGCTGCTGATGAGAGTCACGAGCCTCCTCAGAATACTGCCTCTGCTCACGGATCAGAGACTCATACTCTTTGGTCGTCTTTTGCATGTTTGATGTCACATCACCCAGCACCTGGGTCAGGTTCTTGAATATCTCAAGGTGGTTTTCTCGCTCGATGACATCTCTGCTGGCCTGGCACATGACCACTGCGTTTTGGCGGGCGTTGCTGAATGATGTCCAGTACTGAGGGGTCGATTGCAGACTCTTGAGGCATTGAGTGTATTGATACTCTTTGAAGTCGGGGTAGCATTGCTTGTCGCTGGGAGCTTCCGGCCGGGCGTGCCACCAGCTACCGCCTTTACCGCAATGTCTTGATGCCGGAACAAGGATGTCGCAATTTGCGGGTGGTGTTGGGTTGACTGGCTGGGCACTGAGAAGTTCGCATACAGCCAGTTTGGCGGCGTACTCGGTTTTGACGTTGTCCAGATACGCTTCCGGGCGAGATTTGGCGAAATCCGGTGCATGTTCCAGAAGTTTGCACTCGTTCATCAGGTGAGAAGCAGCCATGCGAGTGCAAGTAGGTGCTGTCTGCATGGAAACGACGAAGTCGACTGCTTGTGTGATCACTCTGTGGTTCCTGGTTGTTGTGTACTGGAACAAGGAATCCACGTTGACTGTTGGAGCTGCATGTGCCGGCGGGGAGTGGTAATGAGAGGACACTGTAGGTAGGAGAAACAGCCCCAACGTGATCAGCTTCGCCTTGCTAAGTCCATGTTGGAGTTCCATGTGAGCGATACGCTGGTGGGCAGTCAGGGTCATCGAAAGCACGGCACGGAAAGCTGGCGAGATGAGGCAGGAGCCAGGGAGTAGAAGAAAGTAGAGAAAGAGGAGAAGGCGAGAGGTCAAGGATGGTAAGATCTCTATTAGTAGCGACCATGTGAGTTCACGATATGGTAAGAGAGCGGAGAAGACGCAACGTTGAAGAGCCTGAAGCATGACGCCTGCCGCGACTGGAAGGTGAGGTCAAATCTGGGGTAAGAGCACGCGCTGTTGGTTGACGATCAAGAGGCACATGCCTGGGTGAGAGGACGGTCAGTCGTAGGTATCAAGCGTCGAAGTTTGACGCTGCATCGTGCAGCATGTTCATCAGAGAGTGATGATGACCGGAGTGTTGTGGTGTTGAGGGGTGTTCGTGGGGGAAGGTGCGACCGCCCAACCAATCAGAGACGTCGATGACGCGCTATCACGAGACCGGATGAGCTAGCAGCGAGTTGGAGATTCCGAAAACTCTCGCGATAATCATTGCCGGCATCAAATCAACATGTTCGCCCCAGCACGACGGCGGTGCGCCCAAAGCTTCGCAAAGGCCTCGAGCCAGAGCAGCGACTCAATACCGACTTTCCTGCTGCCCGTATTTTCCAGGCCCGCGCCGACCAGGACCTTTACCTCGACGGCATCATGTCAATCCAAGATCGGGTCTTTACCGCTCTCAATACCCCAGGGAGTCACGTTCCAGGTGGTCGCGCCTTCCGCTAAGGCGAGAAGTGCGAGAGTGCAGGCCATGTCTACAGTACACATCAAGGGACCATTGGGCGAGCTTTCAATGGCTATCCCGCCATACGTCAATATCAACCAGGACCCGGCATTGGGCGGGCCGACGTTGACAATTGAGGATGCGAAGGATGCGAAACAAAAGGCAATGTGGGGTACGAGCGCTGCAATCACCATGGGCTGCGCAATCCGCTGACACAGTCCCAGGCACCACCCGCGCATACCTCCAGAACCACATCCTCGGCGTCAGCGAAGGGCACAGTGCAATTCTCCGCTTCAACGGTGTCGGTTACCGTGCCTCAGTCGAAGATTCTGCGACTACGGTCAAGTCCGAATTCCCCGGCCAGAAGTTCGTCAACTTGAAGGTCGGATACACACATCCAGTTGAGCTGGCCATACCAAAGGGCGTCACCGCGAGCACACCGCAGCCGACACGTTTACTGTTGGAGGGGCCGGAGAAGGAGGTGGTCATGCAGTTCGCAGCCAAGATAAGGAGTTGGAGGGTACCAGAACCGTACAAGGGCAAGGGTATCTTCGTTAACGGAGAGACCATCAAGCTCAAGAACAAGAGAGTGGGCGGCAAGTGAGCGTGGGTCGTGGTTTGGTGGATGTATACTATATGTGTTGGAGTTGTTTCACGATGAATGGTAAGACCGGCATCATACAAAGCTTACGCGCGTCTTGCGCATGAAGAAATGCACAACACGCGTCCGAAAGACGCAGCCATTCAGGCACCCATTTTTGAACCTTTGTTTTCTGCCGTCTATGGTCTGAGCGACCGCAAACGATGTTGCAAGGTCGAGTACCACACCCTGGTAATGCTGCTGCCTAAGGACAGCCGGCAGACTAAGTGGACCGCGTGTCGAGGAACTATATTCTACATACTGACCTTGTTTACTCAATCTAAATACCTACATCAGCACAAACGCCTTTGGACACTATGGCAGCTTCGAAGCTCCCCACCTGCCATCTTCTACGCATCCCCCGGGAACTTCGCGACGAGATCTATAACTATTGCCTTTCGAGCGACGAGGGATACCATTACCACGCCGAGACGAATACACTACGATACCCAGATGGCACAGCTATCAATCTCGGACTTATACGGACTTGCAAGCAAGTCGCGGCGGAGGCAGTGGAACTTGCTCTGAGTCAAAAGATCATTACCTTCAAAACACACATAGCACGTGTTGCAGGCGCAGAGGGAGCATTTGAATCCTCCTTGACGTCTATGACATGCTATCTCTCGTCTTTGTTACATTATCTGAACATGTCAATGCAAGATGCCGCTCTTAATGCACTTGATCTATATGGTAGGACGATGCCCATGCTCATGCCCAAAAACACCGCGTGAAATACGCACCAGCTGACTTCGTTTTGTAGCTACTGAGGAAATGGCGAGGCATGTTTTCAAACAGTACCCTCAGAGCGGTATTGGTGCTCAGATCAAATTACTGGCACAAATGAAGGGACAAGACCGCTATGTGGGAACCACCCGAGTACTAAGAGACTCTGCACTGCCAATGACCCATATGGATCGCCAAGCTCTACAGGAGGCACTACAGTATGCCTGTCCTCATTTTGGTATTTCAATATGGCTTCTATCATTAGAGTCTTTCTACTGGCCCCGCAATATTTGGAATCACATCAACGGTATGCGAAACGACGGAGTCCCCGCCTCACAAGACGAGCGCAAAACCACGCTTGAAATGGCATGTTCGAAGATATCGTCCACAGTATGGCTGCCTTGGAAAACACCTACAGCTGCGCAGATCAACGAGATGAGAGAGCTGGTGACGGTTCTGAAATTGAGCAGATATGTTTCGTGGATTCCTGATCAAGGACCTCCTGGCGAGGGTAAAGAGCTCAGATATTATGGATCGGCTGCCTCGCAGAGCATCCACTTCCTCGAAATGCTGCCACAGGGACAGCGGTCTCGGTTGCGTCGTTTGGTCATACGCGAAGATCGCAGAAGCTGCGCATTGCCACGATGTCATGCGCACGGCCTCATTCCGTATCTCCACGAGCTTCCCCGGCTACGTATTGACCACCACGTTGACATGTGGAGTGCTATGTAAGCCACCTATCGTAACTGGAAATGTTCTCGTGCTGACGTACCTCTGAAGCTTTCTCGACCCCAATGCCATAATGAACTGGGTCAATGCTTCTCGATTACCTTCTCGAGATCCGGCAAGTGCTTCTCGATTACCTATGCGAGAGCTACCCGAGGCTGCGTACAACACCATTCACTGGATCAACGAGGCTATGAACTTGCGAAATGCCGGTATGCCGTTATCTGCATATCGCCTTCATCTTGAAGCAAACACCGCCACCGCCCAGCGTGTTTGGAATGCTATCAAGAGGCTTGCGGCACTTGCTTCTGCGAACCAACGTCGCTATCACGAGAATGAGGATCATGTTCCCCTCTTCGATGAAATAACCCCCGACAATCCCGAGTTCGCCTACAACGCACGTCAAGAGCGGCGCCTTGTTACTTACGTACGGCTCATTCTTTCTGGTCATTCTACAGTACGGCTGTCATGCCCTATAGGCACTCTGGAGGAATTCGAAGAGGATGCTCAACGTATAGGGAATGAGTTGAAGGATGAACAGGTGAACGTTTGGAGATATCATGCTAAGAAGTGCGTTGCAGGGCAGCTTGATGCCAAGGACTATGATTTCACGGCTCTACATGAATTGTATTACGATCCTTTCTTGGAGTAAGACCGGTATTAGCGGAGAAAGCAGCGCAGCTACAGGTAGCTAGTCATTGAAACGCAAGGTACACATGCTAGATCGTGTACCGTACCCACACCATATCACATCTAAACCCCCCAAAAAAAAACGTGTTTAAAGCTGTCATGTCACCCAACCTTTCTGTTCGGCTAAGCTATGTCTCCCACTACGTCATCCACCCCAACCCCAACGCCGATCTCGCGAAAAGCAACCCACTAACACCCCGCGGGATTCCCTCCGCAATGTCCACCTTCCGCCCGATCACGCGACAAAACCTTGTCAACCCCAGAATCGCAAAGGCCGTCCCCACGATCGCATCACCCATGCCAAGCTCAACTTCCTCCAGATAAGCTTCTCGCGCGCTAGTGGTGCCCTCTTTGACGTCCGTCTACTCGCTCACCTATGGAAGCCAAGAAGCTAAGCCTGCTTCGAAAAGCTTGTATAAGAAGAGCCGCGGTAGATAGCAAGACGGGATGTGAGTGGGTAGGTGATGGTTGAATTACCTAGTTAGGCCACGGGTGAATCCGGGGTCTAGAGAAGTGTGGGCGGGCTTGGATGATCTTTGCATGAAGAAATTGTGGGTTACGTAGGGTGATGGGTGGGTGATCTGCGGCGGATGGGATGGGGTTGGGGGGTTATATGGAGTAGTGCGCGTCTTCTAGAACGATTCTTCAGTTTTGCGCTTTTCACGACATCTTGCGAAAGACATACACGAAAGATTACCTCACACGACGACGAGGTGTCATATACAATCGAAACTGGCACACGTCTGACGACTGTACATACTCGTCATACGCTCGATCTTCGAATTTGTCGACATATTACAACACCACAACAATGTCACCACACTCAACACAAGACCCCTGTATCCCCTACGGCCGCGGCGGAGCAGGAAACATGCGTACGCCCCCTTCCTCCCCTTCCTCCCCTTCCTCCATCCATCCGTCCCTCCATCCCTCCATCCCTCTAAACTAACCAACCCCAGACCGCCGTTCCTCCATAGCGCACACCTGGGCCAACATCCTCTCCTCATCCCCCTCATCCACCTCCAACAACAAACTCGTCCTCACATCCAGCCCCGACGACCACTACGCCGCGTCGAAAACAGAACCTAGAAGACATTCGAGCTCGAGGTCGGAAGGAGGCAGGAAGAATAGTGTAGAGGGGAGGAGGAGGGCGAGTAGTCTTTGGAGTAGGGAGACGGATAGGAGTGGGGAGCATGGGTTGGGCTTGAAATTGGGGAGGCTGTTTGGACGGGGGAGGAAGGAGCAAAGTACGGAGGGAGAGAAGGATGTGGAGGATGAATGAGAGGGGAATGTGAGGATGTGAAGGGTATAGATTGTCTGGTTGAGCGTTATGCTATGCAGAACATGTCTGCACATCTCTTTGGATGTTTATGTTTATTTTTATCCCCTTATCTTTACCTAGCGAAAATGATACCAATTTCTTCTTCATTTATACACAAAACATCTCCTCTCCTCCTGTTTCTCATCCACCCTTTCCCCACCGTCCTCATCCTCCTCTCCCAATTCCTCTTCAGATACCACAACCCCTTTCCAGCTCCCATCCTTTAACCTCCTAATCACGCGCCCTCGACCGCGACCGCGACCGCGCCCTCGCGCGCGTATCCAAGTGCCCCGTAACCTTGCGCAGCCCCGGGACAAGACCCGAAAGCCTCTTGCGATTCCGCATGCTAGACCTGATTTATGATTAACTCGATATGAGTCGTCGGTGTAGGGAGTGACTGTGTACTCTGGTTCTGCTTTTTCACTGGACGTGTCGACGGGTCTGATGTAATCTGTGTACGAGGACTTCAAGCAGGCGACGGGCCGAGGCGATGACGAGCGGTCGGTGGATGTGTGATTGGAGTTGCTGGGACGTAGATGGCTTTCACTCGTGCGTGTATAGGTTTCACTCGTGCGTATCCGGTCTTCACTTGAGCGTATGCGGCTTTCGCTCAAGCTGGGGCGGGAGTTTATGAAGGATATGGCATCGCACCGGATAGAGGGACGGCGAGGAGCCATAGTTGGTCGAGCAGTCATGGTTGGTATGGTATGAGGGGTGGGGTGAGACGAAGGGGGCAGTGAGTAGATAACGTGAGGTAAGGATAGGAAATCATTCATGCTGTACAACTACCATGCCACACGTCCAACGCTCATATTAAATCCCAGCTACACCTTACGCAAGGACCACCTCCACCCATCGAATCAACCCCCATACCAACATATTAATATCTCCGATCTTCGTTTGAACCCGCTGGTTTGGAAATGAACGCGTGCGTGTACGATACACAACATGTCCTTTCACACCGACATACCGGATCATGGCTTCTCTCAACTGCGAACCAACGTGTATTTTTATCCCAGGCGTATTTTGATTTGCCAGTAGGAGGGATCTGCTTCGTCTGTTTATTCCGTTTGCGGGTAAGGTAGACCACATGGCGCACAGTTCTGCCACATTCTTGCATGCAACATGTGAAACAGCAAGGGCGGGCCGGCGATCTTCCACCCTAAGTACGCCAGGCTGCGGGATGTCTTTCAGAATACACGTGCGAAACGTTGCGGATCATGTGGCGGTCTGAGTTGAATTTTCGGTATCTATTGCTGGGTTTGGGGTTGCTCGTGTTGATCGAGATTGGCGGGGTGGTTGACGCTGGCATCGCTTTTCTTTGTTCTCCGGTCAGACTACTTTGTCAACTTGCGACGTGAATGGTGGGTGCTTGCAGGACGCGAGTCAGTCGAATTGAATCTGATGTGACATTGGATTGCTTGCTCATTTACAATCGTGATCTTCGAGTGGCCTCAGTCGCCTACAATGGCACCGCCGCACCGTCACCGCGTAGATCACTACCTCCACTCCAGACCTGTACATCATCGTCTACGTGTCGCCGGATGATCTGGCCTCGACCGAACATACCGCGTCCGTAGCCGTCCAGTTGCTTGACGTTATGACCGAGTGCTCGCAGCTCCTCTACGACCTTTTGGTCGATACCCTCTTCCAGGTAGATCGTCGCGTCAGTCATCTTGCCGTCAGCGCTAGGCATTCCGGCTCCGATACAGAAGCGTGGTGAATCCAGCGCAGCTTGCGGGTTAAGCTTGAAGACTTCTTGGTTGAGGAGCACCTGTACATGACCCTGGGGCTGCATGAAACCGCCCATGACGCCGTACACGGAGTGCAGACTACCGTCGTTGATGTATGTTGTCAAGCCAGGGATGATAGTGTGGTATGGTCGCTTTCTCGGGGCTAGAACATTGGGGTGGTCTTTGTCGAGACTGAAGTTTGCACCTCGGTTCTGCAGAGTGAAACCACAGCCTTTGGGGATGATGGCGGTGCCGAACCCGCCGTAATTGCTGTTGATGAAGGAGATGGCGTTTCCTTCGGGGTCAGAACAGCAGAAGTAGACAGTGTCGCTTTGGAGATGCGCAGGAGAACCATGGACAGGCGCTGAGATGGCCTTCTTTTGGTCGAATAGTTTCGCTCGCTCAGCAAGATAGTTTTCCGAGATAAGCTCGGCAGATGGCACTTTGACGACGTTCGGGTCTGTGACGAACCAATGGGCGTCACAGAAAGCAATCCGCAATGCTTCGATGACAGTGTGGAGATATTGGGTGCTGTTGTGGTCGTTCAGGCTCCACTTTGGAATCTTCTTCTGCTTCTCAAGTTCCTGGATAATGCCGAGGGCCATCAAAGCGACGATTCCTTGACCGTTTGGTGGATGTTCCCAAAGCTCGATACCGCCGTCGGGTCGCTCCCCAACGCCTTGGCCAGTGTACTTTAGCGAGATGGGGTCTACTGGCTCTGTCCCGGTTTCTGCGTGGTGTTTGAGATCGTCCAAAGTGAGATAGCCACCGAGATCTTGCACTACTTTTACGAGCTGCTCGGCTACCTCTCCCTCGTAGAATCCCTTCTTTCCGTGCTTGGCCAACAGTTTGAAGGTATTGCCCATGGTGGGGTTCTTCATGATTTCTCCGGCTTTGGGCGCTCTGCCATCCTTGAGCATTTCGCGCCCGTTGGGCGATGCTTTCAAGAGGTCCTTTTCGCTTGCTGCCCACTGCAGAATGTCAGAATGTCACCTGTTCATGAAGCGTTGCAATACTTACGAATGTTGCTGATAGCTCGGAGACTGGGAAACCGTTCTCCGCAAGATCAATGGCCGGCGCGAGGACGTCCTCCATGCTGACCTTTCCACTACCAAATCGCTCAACACAGTCAACCCATCCTGCTGCTGCGCCAGGCACTGTCGCGGCATGTACATGATCCATGGGAATCTGGCCGCTCTGACCTTCTGCGATGTTGAGGTCTTTCCTGACCTTGTCGAGAGTGACGTTGGCACCACTCCGGCCGGAACCGTTCATGGCAGATACCTTCTTCGTCTTCGCATCGTAGTACAGACAGAACATATCACCGCCGATACCCGTTGAGCCCGGCTCTGTGACATTGATGGCTGCCGCAACGGCCACCGCAGCATCCTTTGTAGCGTTAGTATGTGATGGAAGTGGTGATGGATTACGTCATACTGCCGCATTACCACCTTTCCTTAGGATCTCGATTCCAGCAGCGGCTGCAAGTGGCTGCGTACACGACACAATGCCTTTGGTGCTATGTACGACTGAACGACGACTGGGAAAATGGACAAATTGGGGCTCGGGGTGTGGGTACACATTGCGAGTATTCGAAGTTGTGTTGTTATCCATGGCGACTTTGGCGACTTTGGCGGGCCGTTCTTGCTCAGGCTCTTGTTGGGGCTTGGACCTCTTGCTTCGTCGTGGAGTAGGCATGGGGACTTGAATGTGAAGCTTGGAGCTATGAGTGGGGTAACGGAGAGCTGCTATGGTATACCTAGGTACCTAAGTA